AGTCAAATCCAAATTACGAATCTTTGATGATTTTGCTTTAAAAATTTACATCACGTTATTTGACTCTCTGTTGCATTTGCTTTCCTTTCAATGATCGAGGAAGGGATGTAGCGCGCTGCAAGATTACTTAAGGGCTTTTATCTCTTGTACCTGACTTGCTCCAGGGAAAGGTGGCGATGTGCTAGAAACTCTTGCGCGCCCTCCAGCCATAGAGCTGGGATTTATCAGAAATAACATTTGAGGAAATTTTGATAAGAGGCTTTAGCAATATACCCACAATCTTCTTCTTAACGTGCACTTCGAAGTTTTCAAAAACTGAATGTCTTTTCCGCTCACCTCTTTTCGTAGGTACCAAAAATTTTACCATCACACTTTGTAGATTTTTTCTTTAGGTAGACGTTTTCTCTACTACTAAGACGTGTTGTCAATGCCAAGAACTTTTGGGAAACCTATTTTATAATATGCACTCCGCAGCACAATCATACTTGAGACACGACACAAACTCACGATCCATGTTCACGTTTAGAAAAGAAAAAGCATAGCAATTATCTATGATAGGTTGAACTATAAACAAATTGTTTGCTATCGTCTTAATGCGAATCAAACGAAAGAGAGGGGAAATGGTGCTTGTTACATCACTGTGTGTTGGAATTTTGTGGAAGTAGCATTGGTAGTTCCTTTCCCTACAAGGTTTGCTTGGTTTTTGCTTTAATGCATCCATCCATCCTCCTCTGCAAAAACTAGATGCCTAACCATTAGTATTAGTCGATTAGATGATCCGCGACTAATTGCTTACAATTAGATACGTTAAAAATGAGGTCTCAGCATTCTATCTTTACTCCCTTTCGGCTATCTTCGCTAAACCATTGCGTTACAATACTAGTACTTTACTTGCTCACCTCTGATATTGGCGGTTGGCTGACTCGCGGGACCCCCACACTTGTACTTTGGAGAAGATTACTCATTGAGAATATTTTCCGATCATTTATATACCTAAACATCGGAACACGT